TATATATATATATAATTATACAATAAATATAAATATTTTATATCTCCCTCAGATCCTGCACACAACATGTTTTCATGGCAAAATTTTGATTGATGTGTTTTTATATTTACTTCTTTGGAAATTAATTCATAACAATTTCTATAGACAGCAGCACATAATAGTTAAAGAATTTCTTCACAGCAATGGAAATTCATGTTTCCAAGCAGCATTAAGAATGGTGTAATTTGAATGTAGTGTGCCGATCTATGAAAATGTATTAATTCCTCCTTCCTTGTATGTCAGAAATATTTGCATGTACACAGCACTAATCTTGACAGTTCATACAACATGAAAGTGTATTTAAAACTTAATGACAACTTTTCAATTTTGTGTCAATTTTTATCATTATTTTCCTCTCTGCTGAGATACTATGATCTTTAAGAAAAATCCCTAAGTGACTAAACTAAAAATTTCATTAAAAAATTCCTTGGTCTCAGGAGGACATAAATAATAACATCCCCCATATTTTGTCTCCAAGCCAACATAAGGCTTCGGAAATTTTTAATAGTTTGTGAAAGATACTTCAAGAGGAAACTTTAAATACTGATCGTATCAGAAACAATTATCTGAGTTCATGACACCATTTTACTAATGAGGATGGAGAAACAACAGAGACTACACCTCCAGTTATTCCAAGCTCACATAATAAAAAAAATGTCTGTCTCTAACAAAATTGGAAAATCTGTGAAATTGTTTTGTCGATAAAGTGCACAAAGGCAAGTCTGAGACTATACAGTGGACACTGAAAAACAAATAAATAAATGATGCTAGGTGTAAAAAAGACTCCACATAAGGTGCAGGGATTAATACAGTATTCAACTGATTTCAATTTTAAGTAACTCTTTCATCTCACATTGATGGTAAGTGCTGTGTTGTGAATATGAATTATAATTCACTTATGTTCTTTATTGCAAAAACAGATGAATACTACAAACATTATTGATGTCCAATTAGCACATAGTCCATTGTCAGGGTTACCATAGGTCTGGACATGCCCTTACATTTTAATCTTTTGCCTGGCATCAGGGAAGAATTTCTGCAAAATCATGAAGGTAGTACATTTCAAGAAACTTGACTTCATGGAACATTTTCTTGTTTACTCTCAACTTTGTATCACATTCAACAAATCTGTCAAAATTATAGATAATATTAGCATATATCTGACATTTTTTGAAAATGTCAACATATAATGCTAAGATTGAGTAGATTTTTTCATTGATATCAGCATATTAGACACATGAAAGGAACAGATTAGCAAGTGCCTCAACTAATTATAACAGAATAACGTTTCACACAAATACAAATGAAAATTAACAATTTTTTTTTCTAGAATTGAGCATGTATTATATTTCCTATTGAAATACAGTTTTAATTTCTGGTTTATAAATAAATATACATGGAGATTTTCTGATTGCTTTAAATACAATTTTTTCTACTCTTGACTGTGGAAAGTTATACGATGATGTCTTGAAAGCCAAGAATTCACAGCTTATCACATCCTATTCTTAATACATCAGTTAGCAAACTTTTGTTCAGATACAACCCTATTTTATGATTTTTTACAAATGTTTTTTCCGAGGCATGGGGCCTCCTAAGGATGGGGACCTTTTAAGCAACTGCTTATTTTTCTTGAAAGTAAATCAAGACTTACTTCTCACGCAGTATTCAACTTACAAGAAATCCTTAATTATACATGCTCTCTTGTGTTTTTCATCTTCTCAAAGGCAGTGGTAAAGAAGCATTTTAAATCAAAATTATAACAGACTTTTTAAAAATTTAAAATAAATAGGGAAGAGTTTCAAAATTATACAACTGTTTTAGTGAACTTCTGGAAAGTAAATATACTATCAAAAATTACTTTAACCCCAATAACAATAAGGTCATTATGTAACTGATATGAATCAAAATATCATAAAATATCATTAAATTCAGAACTAAATACATGTTTAGTCCTAGTTAATTTCTCAAAAAAAGCTTGCTTTTTATAATGACACCATATAATGCTTACACTGTACATTATGATACACTTCTCAAATCAATTATTGTTTGCCAATCAGTTAGAGTGAACTCGATTTTGCTCCTCTTTTCACATGACAATTGTAGGTCTTTTCATAGAGCAAATACTTAATGTACTTTATTGACCTATTTCTTGACTTTTTCCTGTTGCCATTTTTTTCAAAAGAAACATATAATCTAATTAGCCTATATTTTAAAACACAGTACCATTCTTACGAAGTTTATAAACAAAATAATATCCTCTTAATCTAATCAATGCAATTCAAATCATTTGCAGCTTTTTGAAAAGAAACAAAATGATATTCATGATGAGCTCTGTTTCCCAGTGCTACTTTATGTTCTTAAATAAATGAATGATCAGAATTGGAAAATGCTTTTTCAAAAAAATACCACAGAATAATAAAGTATTTGTATTCATAAAAATCTGGCCTAAATACATTATTTAAATTGCCTTTTACAAACGCTTTTCTACAGAACATCTTCAAATCATCTAGATATTGCTTGCCAAATTAGCAGCTAACAGTTTTAGAGGGCATTTGGTGTTCAAATCAAATATGATTTATGGTTTAATTACATCCATATGCCATGCTGCATAACAGTATATGGTACAAATTGATTACTTCCAAATTCTGAAATTTTAAAGAAAGCAAAAGCTAAAAAAATTGACACTATATGATACTTAATGTGGTCTAACCTTTTGTAACTTTGACGATTTTATCACACATAATTAGTGACAAATAAATGATGAAAAATGGCTGAAAATATTCAGGTCATAAAGAAAACTACCATGCTTACAAACAAACTTTTCTTGCAAAATTGAAATATACAATTGAATCTTTTTTTATCCTCTACTTTTCCATTTTATTTGTTTTAGCAACAAATGTGAATTTGTGTCATAAAATGCAATTATCTTGTCTCCATCTTTTTACCCTATACCATTTTGATCCCTACCATCATTAATTTGTTAATATTTTTATGAACATTAGCAGGTTAATATCGGTCTTCTAGATATGCCCATTCTAACTTTCCCATTCTCATTTGAAACATATTGTCATGAACTTTAAAAAAAAAATGTGGCTGATAACGTCACGTTTTTACTGATTTATCTCAAAATAACTTTCCCAAATTCTTATAAATATTTCAAATTATATTTATTATGTGATTGAAAACAACTTCAGAAAAGGTATTCTAATATAAAATCAATTATTTACACTCAGTATATTGCCGTACACATTCATGTTTACCACTTCCAGTTGTCAGTATATCTTTGTGTCCAAAAAGACCACAGGTTTAGACTTCATAGAAAAATTCAAATATGGTACGAGGGTTTTTTAAGTATTTGTATGACTTCTTACCATTTTGCAATTTTATCCACTGGGCATAGAGTCATTCTCTCTTGAATGCATGATGTAGGATTGTCCGACCCGACTAGTGTGTCGACGACCAACAACAACAACAACAACAACAAAGAGAAATCGGCGATATTTACCGTACAAGAGACACATTACATTATTCATTGGGTTATCAATTCTGACAGATTTGCGAAGTAAATATGGTGGAAGAAAGCGTGAAGTAAACATTCCGAATCTGCCATCTGAAACGAGATAATATCCTCACGCACTTGCGGGTTTGTCAACTACTAACTACTTAGTGAAAATATTTCGTAATAAAATGGAAGTTCTTGGAACTGCAAGCGTGAAACAAGACAAACCTTCTTCAAAATTATCTTCAATAAAAAAAAATGTACTCATTGACAGCGATTACGAATTTTCACGTTACAAATTCGAAAAATCCCGCCCAATTCTGGGAATGTAATTCAGGTTAGCCAATATCATATCGCATCATATCGCCATTTTCTCGTAGATATGTGCCCGAAGTCCCAATTAAGGAAAAAAGGCTTTTACCATGGATGTTGTTCTGTGACACATGAGCTAGAATATACTAGTTCCTTGTCTATGTCCCAGCCTTGGAAGAGTTTTCCTTGCTCAGATGTTGCTTAAAGTGAAATCATAAAAATTATTGCGCCAAGTTCAAAAATTGCGCTATTAAATACTATATTACGTTGCACTTAATGTATATTAGTTATTTAATTTTTTTAGTTCAAAATCTCTTCTTACTTTATTTTGAAGTAAAGAATAATAAAACGGGTTTATTGAAGGGATATTTTCAAGTTCTAAAGAGTTTTAACTATGAATACCGATTTTCAAGCTCTATTAAATGTAGCTAAAAATAAATGATACAAGTTCTCGAAAGCCTAAGTCGAAAGGTACGGATTTCGTAGCTAAGGAAGTTTCTCAAAGTTTCAAATGCATGCCGCTTCTTTCTTTTGATATGTGGCCTGCTACACTATAGTTCAAACTGAAGCTTAGAGGTTGAAACAAAGATTCGCAAAACGTAACATAAACAAACGCAAGAAGATTGAAACTCAGGCTTTGTGAATATGAATGACGACTGGTTGCGTTGAGTATGAATGACGACTAGTTAAGTTGATTGCTTGGTGTTTCCGGGCTAAAGTAATTTAGTCCCGCACGCGTAGTGTACGCTTTTATCGTGGGATGTTGCGGTTATCCCATCTGAATGACGAGATCCGGCGCCGACCTACACATCGGCTTGCTGGGGGGTTTCCCCAACTAGGTATCTCCCACCACCGGGGCAACACCCAACCAGAAATAACTCAAAGCTCTCGACTATTTTCCCGACAAGTGTAATATTGTGTTCGACCTATCTCTTTGTGTGATTTTGTTCAGTACGAGTAGTAGTTATGCTGCTACAGACCTCTACTTTTATTCTAACACCTTATTTTTTTGTATTTTTATTTTCTTCAAATAATGTTTGAACTTTTATAAAGTTAATGAACTCCATTGTTAGCCAATTCAAACGTAATTTAATACTGCATTAAATAAAAAAGAAATTTCATTTCATTGATACACTAGCGGCGTATCCAGAAACAAATTTTGGGAGGAGAAATTTAAAATGTTTTGGAAGAATGTGTCATTACAGAATGTATAAAATGTCACAGGCTACACTCAGGTCATGCTGCGATATGATTTTATTTGTTCTAATGATAATCTGAAAATACTTTTGCTTGAAAGTTTAGTGTTAGGTTAAAATTAATAGTTACCATACTGAAAAATTTTAGTGG